ATTATTCTCTAATATTAACATAATGCACATGTATGGTCATACAGATCGTTTTAAAAGCGATTTTTTCCTTGTTCCTTGATGATATCTCATGTTAAGGCATGTTGAAATAAAGGAAAAATGAAACAAAAATGTTGTTTTAAACATCTTGATATCTGGCTATGTTTTTTTCTAATGGTAAATAAGTTGTTTAGCAATATTTTCCTTGATTATATCTCATGTCATCTTCGGTAACCCAGGCGTTTTGCCGTATACATGTATTAGATGTAGTTTATTCGGAATGTGTACCGTGGTTTCCGCCGGTGAACTTGTGTAGGTATATTGAAAAAGAAAAAAGAAAGAAAAAAAAAAAGAAAAAAAGTTTACTATCTTGATTACAGTAGATGTATCTGGCTATATTTTGTTTTCCTAATGGTAAATAACTTTTTTTTTAAATTATATAATAAAAGCAATCTTCACGTTAGACTTTATGCAAATAGTACACTTTGGCCCAAGGGACTGTAATTGGCGTTTACTCAAAATAAGCCAAGGTACGCCCCTAACCGTGCGCGAAATCTAATTGGCTAATTCAAATGCAAGCGTTTAACTGAGACAGAAAATTGTAACGGAATATTATTTAACGAAATAATTGCTCATGCACCGTCAGCGTTTTTGAATATATTATTCCGTCCAAAAATTTGGAATCAATCTGCAAAGCGCCTAACTTAGCCAGTATGGCCGATAGACAAAATTAGACTGATGTTTATATTTTATTTTAAATTGATAAATACATTGTTTGAGAGTTTTTGTTTATGATTTAGCATGAAATTGAAAGAAAAGAACATAAGATTTTGAATAAAGCTTGAAAGGCAAGACAATAGATATTTTTGATTTTTTTATGATGCTATGCGTTTATGATCAATTACTATTAGGAATTACAGTTAGCAATAACTATTAGGAATTACTATTCGGAATCCACAGTAGCAAAACATTAGTCCTGTAAGTTTATATAACTTGAGACTTGAAAAGATTTTGATAAATCACAATTTTTGTTTGCATTAATTTTTGGCCTTTGTTTTGAAAAAGTTGTTCCGATTAGGTGGTTTCCTGCTTACATTTGTTAGTGCATGATGGAACGGGAAACCAGTCTAGGTTTCCTCTGCAATCGTGACAATTCGGGCGATTCCGTCATACTGCGGAATCAGACGAAGTAGTATTACGGAAATCTAAGCTATTTTTAGTTACTTCGGTAATCCCAGTTTGTTTCTATAAATTATAGGATTTCTATTTTCACTTATTTGAACGTGGAGTTAAAACTACAGTGATCGGTGTCTCGAAAACCATGTTGTCGGTATATCTGTGATCAATAGACAAGTGACATAGATATTTTAGGTGTAACATAGTTGATACATGCATATTAATTGATACCACGTAACGAAGTCTTTGAGTGCATTTAGTTGTCTATAAAGCTGCTATTTAAATGAAATTAGCAACTGCCAAAACGAATGACTCTTTCAGCGAAAAAAAGTTAAAAAATGAAAGTTGCACACTTAATTGTTTCCCTTCAGTATGATAGATAGATACTTTTATTTCCTCCACGTGGGAGAGCCAATGTTAGTATTTTTACGATTGATTATTTTCTTTAATAGTTTTATACAATAGAGAATAGATTTCAAATCGTTTTTGACAAATCGTTTTTGACAAAAAATATTCGTTTTTACAAAAAAAGTTGTTACTGTTATCGTCAGCATGTTCCGGTTCAGTTATAATCAGAGGACTTCTGGTCCTTCTTTTGCATAACACTGATGGCTCAAATGGGCACAGGTGCTCATCCAGTCTTGGGGTTACCCTACATACCCCTTTAAAAGTGAACATTTTTTTCGAAAAAAAAAATCCTAAAAACCCATTATGATATACAAATAATTAAAAAAAAAAAAAGTTATATTTAATTGACTCTATACCTGTAAAAACATAGGTACCTTGTTTTTTACTGGTATATAAGGTCAATTTATTGTTAATTTTTTATAATTATTTCTTTTTCAAAAAAAATCATTTTTAAAGGAATGGGATGATGGAACAACTGGGCGAGCCTTTCCTTTTAAAAGGAAACTTTATTTGGATTGTTATTAAACCCTAAATTTGCGACCGATTTTGCAACAAGATCTCTTTTTGATTTATATCGCTGATAGGTTATGTATACACTTTTATGATTTTGATTTTTAAACACCATAATCAACGGGCATATCCAGTAACGCAGGAATGTGCAAATAATGTAAAAGTAATGCCAAATCTATGCAACGCTTTTGCCTAAAACGCAGTAAGCAAACGAACCAAAATATTTTATTCTAAATCAAATGCAAAGAAATGAGTTAGCGCATATGGCTGCTACGATATTTGCTATAACCAGCATTAATAATTTTTTCAGGAATATGTTTACTTCTTTAGACCATTTGTGAGAAAGACAACCTGGTTACCGTTTTGAAGGTGACTTTTGTGTTTTGTCAAATAAATATGTTCATTTAACACATTTAAAACATCATTTTGTCATAGTCTGTATACCTAAGACATTTGTGAAGCTAGAATTGTCATATATCAATAGAAGAAAACTAGTTAAATAAGATTTAGCTACCTTTAGTTGCTTAACGGTTATATTCACGGATTCGGCGTTACCTCGTAAAAATTGTCAAACAAGATGGCGGATGTAGCCGAAAAGTGAGTTTTTCCTTTTCTTCTCTGCAATTCTAATTCTAATGTTCTAATGTAAAGGTACATATAACAACCTTCTTCACAATTTCCGGGCTCACAGAAATTTATTTCATGATGTTTCGTCCCGTACTTCTTCTGAAATGCGCGTCACCAGATTCGAAGCGAGAGAATTTTCCACCGGTTTGATCGTGGTAACGTACGGCTTCTTCTCTCAAATTCATTGTTTCTTTTACATATATGTATATTAACTGAAACCACTGACTTAAAAAAGTTGTAATATGTCGGCATCTAAGCATTCATTCTCAAGAATTTGCATTCCTTTGAGGTATCCAATTGTCAAGTTTGAGTTGAATGTGTAATACCGTTGGGGAGATAAGCGGACACTGAAAATTTCATATTATTATCAAAGTAAAAGGGGCATAACTGTGCCAAAAATAATCGAACCATGGCCAAATTCGAACTTGACCTGTATTTTCTCATGACATATCTATATGTCAAGCTTGAGTTGAATGTGTAATACCATTGGGGAGATAATGAACGGAAACTTAAAATTTCATATTATTTTCAAAGTAAAAGGGGCATTATTGTGCCAAAAATCATCGAACCATGACCAAATTCGAACTTGACCTGTATTTTCTCATGACATATCCATATGTCAAGTTTGAGTTGAATGTGTAATACTATTGGGGAGATAATGAATGGTAACTGAACATTTCATATTATTTTCAAAATAAAAGGGGCATAACTCTGCCAAAAATCATCAAAACCATGACCAAATTCGAACTTGACCTGTATTTTCTCATGACATTTCCATATGTCAAATTTGAGTTGAAACTAAGATAATGAACGACAATTGATGATGACGGAATGACAGAATGACGGAAGGACGGAATGACGGAACAGGGCAACACTATAATGCCCCAGCCATTATATGGCGGGGAAATAAAAAGCAAAGTGCCAATCATGTTAGATATATGGAACAGAATTGGTGCATTTATTCCATCTTGCTTGATGATATTTGGACTTACATTATGCTTGCTTCCATACTTTTTTATGACAATGGAAACCTACGTTTTGCTGAATACAATCATGCATTATGATTGCTGAATGCACTATAATGTAATCGCAACTTCACGTGTTCCTTTCTGAACCATGAAACTCACATATTTTAATATGCTATATGTTTTATTGCATCTTTTTAAGGACAGCGTATTATGTTCGGTGTTTTAGATAACTTTCTTTGCCTGTTTTTGATATAACTAGGTGTAACATTGTAAGGTTCTGAAAGTACCTTTAATTTGCTATAAATCTGCCACTTACATTGTCGACACTATTTCACAATAAATAATTGATTTTGATCAATACTTGGGCGAATTTGACGTGTCTTAGCATTCATATTCTGCAATATATTTACTGATTACAAATATAATGCAGCGCATCGTTTTTAAAAACCTTCGTAAATGAACTGTCGTAATTTGTTACGTCACACGTCGTGATAATACTTTTTCCTGAGGTACTTGTTTCCTGAAAAAAACAACAACAACAACAAAAAAAAAACAACAGCTTGTCATAGTTTAATAGATTGTTACTGTACAATAAATCATAAATCATTCTTTTGCGTCTTCTTATGTTACTTATTGTGCAACATTTTCCTACACTTGATAATCCTTTCAACAAAAAGATTTAAAAATATTTTACGAAATGTCTAAAAAAACATTGATACAAATACAATTTGCTTTTTTACATAATTTAAGAACTTATTAACTTTAAATGATTCATTAAGTATTGTTTAAACTTTACTTTGGTTTTCGTCCACTGACATTTTTAATTATTAGGTATTTGCGTGTTCACAATATTTCGAGTTTTAAGTATACTGCACATTTTTACTTGTTTACTAAAAACTTTAAATTTTTTTGTGTGCTCAGAAACAAATGCCAAAACTACGTCTGAAACTATTAAAGAAAGAGGTAATTCATAAAATTTATTTGTCTTAAGTTTTTATGGCAAAAAGATTAAAAAGTTTGTTTCAAAGTAACACAAATGCCTAAACAATTGCACAACAAAGATCGAGACCAATTCACTGAAATATTTATTTAAACTATTGAAGCTTAAAAGAGCTTTGATAATTCAAGACAGTGAACATATATTTGAAACGAATGTCAACCATCTTGAACAGTTTTATGTTTTCCTATAACATTACACTTAGCCGTATGTCGCACGAATTTTCATTTCATTTTAAATTTATTCTTAAAATTGTTTATGTTCCCATTTACCTATAAATCTAAAATGTCCAATACCTTCTGCCGTTTTTAACATTAGAAGAAGTCTATTTCAGAGTGGATGCTTGTGTTCTGAGAACCTCTTAAAAAAAGTGAAAGATATTTTGAACAACATGCACGAATCAAAGGTATGCTCCTACTTATTGTTGAGTTTGGGTACTTTTAGTTGACCGATAAGAAAGTATCACATCGGAAGTTAATGTTCAGCGGCATGACACAACTTTTGAAAATATCGGTCTTTATATAAAAAAATACGAAGAGGGATATAAAATTTGTTCAGAGATATTTAACGCTAACAAGTATATAACTAGAAAGTCACTGTTCGAGTCCCTGAGTGTTAAGAAGGATCTGGGTTTTTTTTAAATCAATTTTAACAAGAGCTATAAAGGTCAGTTATGTTTATATTCATCTTGACTGGGCTGTTGCATAAAATGCTTTATATCAAATGTTATCAATACATTATGGTTACATCTATTACATACTCAACCACATGCCCAGTGCCAAAATCAGTGATATAAGCTTAGCAACAGTCCTTACTTATGCATATGGAATTACATATATTTAACAAATTTTACATTTTATAAAATATAAAAGCATAACATCTGAGAGACAAGTGAAATGCATCAATCAAATATTATTACACCTCCCTTTTACTAGCACAGCATTGACTGTAAACTGCTAGGTCAACTTTGTTATTTAATTACATTGACGTTGAAGGTTAAATTATTAAATTTTCATTGATTAGGATGTAATTGACAACAACTTGGTTATGAATCTATGAATCATTTTCATTCTTGGACAAAACTACTTTTTGGACAAGACTTTCTGAAAGGTTGAAGTGACCTTGACATTGAGCTTGAAATGACCTTGATCGTCAAGGTCAACTTATTTAATTTTGGTTAAATTGTCATAGATTGCTGTATATGAACGGATTTACAATGATTAATACATGGACAAAACAAGACTTGACAGCAAACATTTATTTAGATGTGATTTTGACCTTAAATTGATATTGATTGTCAAGGTCAAATTAATAATAATCTCTTGTTTAGTAGTTGTAACAGGCTATAACATTGTTATTTATTTATTGATAAACTTCACATTTAGACACAACATCAGTCAGGCCAGAACGTTCGAGTAAATCAAACTTAGATTGACCTTGGCCTTGAAGTTCAAACTGTTGAATTTCAAATGCTTATTGCTATAATTGGCTGAAAATTTGTAACTAACCAATGGATTATTTTCATAGTTTGTCTTTTCATTGAGCTTTTAATGACATTCACCAACAAGTTCAAATTATTGTAGTTTGGTTAAGTTGTCATAATTTTGTTATTATATACGGATTTGATTTTTTTGTGGGCAAAACAACTCGTGTGACCATACGTACATGTTGAATAATTTCGATGCAAACTTGACATTTATTTGACCCTTACGGTCAAATTATCGAATTTTGATTATTATTTTCCAAGCTTTGTCATGCATTTATAGAAATAATTCATACATGGACAAAACAAGAAGTGTGTCTAGACAGACCTATTTAAATAAGGAAAAGAAAGACTTAATTTTTTTCTTTAATTTTCTATTTCAAAATTTGTTTAAACCGATTTTGTTTGCTTATAGAACAAGTAAAACATCAAGCGTTGGCCCTACCGGGGATTTTTTTCTGCTACCTTGTAGAGGCTTGCAGCTTAAACCATTTTCTAATCTGGTTTTACGACTACAGAAAATTAATTTTACAAAAAAAATATTTAGTTAATCTTTTATATATTTTTTTCAGCTTATTGATATTTTTGAATATATCGAGGAAAAGTGTATAATTGGACAACAACCCCAAAACAAATTTATCGTGTGTGATTTGGTTTCACATCTCAAAGATATTTGTACAGAGAAAAGATTTACCGAGCTAGAAAGGTAATATATGGCGGATGAGAAACTAATGCTAATTATTACAGAGAGGTTTGATGCTTATTTCAAACAAAATTATGGTTGTTATTTGTACTAAAAGTACCGAGTATATACCTCCTAGACGTGTCATCAGCATAACCCACATCAGATTACAACTCCAAGAAACTGTCTGTTGTGATCCTGAACAAATTACCTTTCAGCACGAGGGATCTTCTTATCATCTTTGCTTTCGCTGGCGATTTCACCCGACTCATTTTCCGGCTTTTATCAGCTATTTGACTGAGGTTATTCCCTTCAGTCAGGCCTTTCCAGCAACTTTTTCTATTGATCTACGCTTTTTGTCGTTCTGAAAAAGCTGGGAGCCGACTCTAACTGTTCAATTTGTTCCGAGTTCAATTCAAACTGTTTCCGGTTACTTGTCAACTTAAAGTGCCTGGCACAAGAACTTTCTTGTCCTTACACACTGATTTATCGTCTCTTAATTTACGCTAAAGCAAAAGAAACTTCTTGTACAAAAACTCCTGAAAAGCAACCATAAAATTAGCAGAGCCGCCTCTATCGCTGCCACATGGCCGTCGTCCTGCGTTCTGGCTATCACTATCCATTTATGACAAAAAATAAACATGTGAACGAAGCAATGCAATTATCTCGAGTGATTTGAAATGCCTTTTGATACTTTATATAGGAATCATAAAACATATGATAATTGTTTCGATTAAAGTGGCATAATGTCCACCAAAGTATTAATGATTAGAGTTGAAGTAACAGTTGAAAAAAAAAACTATTTGAAATCCTGTTCTATACTTCGCATGAATAATCAATTACCCACATGACTCATTGAAAATATTATTAATATTCTTTAAAAGGGAACTGTAACGTTTGAAAAGGGGAAGACTTATTAAGATTTATGTTTTAGGCAAAGTATCTTTTAAAACTAGCTATTTATATATTTATAATTTATTATTAGTTATTGGTCAATAACAATCTTTTGAAAAAATTAGCTTTACTTTAAGTGATACGCGAAATATGTCATTTAATGTTGTGTAGATTCTGAGCAAATATTTTCTTCTTTTTAGAACGCTCCTCGTAAAAGGTAAGTTTAACCATTTATCTAAATGCAAACAATTTTGGTCGGTACTTAAATTAAATGACCTCCGATTAGATTTCGTTTGGCCAAAATAATCTAAGGTACGTAAAAACAGACATGATGTTAATAGAAATAATTGGAAATGTTTTCTTGATGCCGCTAACAACATTTGTGAAAAAATGAATGAATTGCTTTTACTTTTTTAACAAACTCACCGATTGAATTTGTCTATGATCGCAATTGTTTCACTCGTGTTATATTGTTTGAGTCATTCTGAATATAGAAATAATTTTGATGGCACTTTTTATTCACAAATCAACATGACGCACTCGCGGTACCTATATTTTGTTCCTAAAATCAATCTATAACAACAATAAGAAATGCGTATTATCTAGATGAGCTGAATTTCCCGATTTATTGCATACTTGAACTATTGATGAAATAAAATGCACATTTTCACTGTGAAAATATTATTTTTCACTGCACTTATACATAATTTCCATATTTCTAACGGTGATTTCTTCTAAATTCAGCAAAGTTAGGGAAAGTTTTTCGGATCGAAAGTTCAAAAAAGAGAAAGGTATTATATTATAATAAACAAAAATATCAAGTTGTTTCCCTATTATCGGGGATAATTTTCATCGACTTGCATGAAAATAAATACTTCGCTAGTGGTTATATCCAATGTATTGTGAAACAAAACGAGAATATAGTTGATGAAAATTTACTATGAAGTGATTTGTTTTTGAATGACTGCTTCCACTGCTGCACTTTTTTTATACCCATTTATTTGTTTTAAAAGTGAGGTCTTCCCAACAAAGTTTTTCAATGCTAAAAAATAAGCTAATATTGAGTTTTATTTATAACATTTTAAGATGTTACTCACTAAATCAAAGAAGTATTGCCTTTCTTACAGATCTCCCGGGGTATAAAGAAATCTTCCAATGCTTTGTAAGTTTTTCTCCTTATATCTTCTAATACAATAACAACAAAAATAATTATTGCTATAAATGATGAGGATGATGATGATGCTATCTTATAGGAATCAAATGCTAAAGCACGTATCCAAATGACAGGTATAACAAACTGACACGAATCATTAATGCAACCACTTTCAGATGATCAAATGTGTTACTTGATAATAAAATAAAACACTTTTAGTGAGTTCAATAAATGTGATCCCTCGGAAGCATTAATCACAACAATATTACATGAAAATTGCAGAATCGGTTTTAGTCTGTACATGACGGATAATAAAAAACGCAAGATCCCTCACATCCCCTAACGCTTTGAAATAAGGATTTACACGTACTGCCCTCTTCCAAGATAACATTTCAAATATCACTTCAACCGAACTAACAATTTATTTTTAAGGTTGACTTTGAAAATGAACTACACAAAAAGAATTGCATCATATTTTTACCTTTAAATGGTGCCAAGGTAAGTTTTGCACATAAAATCAAATATTTGGTGTGTTGTGAATCAAAAGATTCCACTGGTGCTTCAGTAACGTTGTTTTATTTCTGATTACCGGCAAGTCAGCTTATATTAATGACATCAGACATAATAACCTATAAATAGGCTTGTTATGCAAATGTGACGCTAACATTGGCGTAAAAATGTATGTACATGCATCAGTACGTAGATTGGTGAATTCACATCTAAAAACCTTCGGAAATGAAATGTCGTATTATTTTGTTACGTCACACGTTATAATAATATATTTCTGAAGTACTTGTTTACTGAAAATAACAGCTTGTCATAGTGCAATAGATTGTAACTATACAATTAATCATCAATTATTTTTGCGTCTTCTTAATTTACTGGTAAACAAAGCTGTCACATAATTCATGTGAATTATTTTTCTACACGAAAAACTTGTTAATCCATTAAACAAACTGAGTTAAAATATTTTACGAAATTCGTACAGTACGAAAGTGCCGCCAATTCATAATGTTCTATAAAAAAACACCTACGAATGAGATAAAAAAAGCCTAATTAGGAGTTAATAACTTATTAAGTCTTTTTATCTCCTATGTAGGAGTTATCTATTTTATAGAACATATTAAATCGGCACCAGGACGCTTCCGCAGATTATCTCAATAAATCTTGTGCTTTCTTACATAATTTTTTTAAGTTTTAAGTATAAATTATTCATTAAGTATAATATTTAATTTTGGTTTATACTTTATTTTGGTTTTCGTCCGATGAAATTTTTAAGCATCATGTATTTGCGTTTTCACAATATTTCGACTTTAAAGTATTCTGCACTTTAACTATAAACTTATTATACATATTTTTGTGCTCAGGAACAAATGCTCAAAATGCCAAAACTGCGTCTGAAACTCTTTGGCAAAAAGGTAGGTCATAAATTATTTGTATTAAGTTTGAACGTTAATTTCAAAAGATTAAAAAGTTAGCTTCAAAGTAAATCAATGCCTAAATGCACAATAAAGATGTAAACCAGTTCAGTGTAATATTTCTTCAAACTTTTGAACCTGAAAAGGCCTTTGATAATTCAAGACAGTGAGCATTTTCTTATCTAAAAGGTTCAATAACTTCTACCATTTTTAACATCAGAAGAGTCTGTTTCAGGATAAATGCTCGTGTTCTGAGAACTTCTTAGACAAAGTGAAAGATATTTCGAACGACCTTCCAGAATCAATGGTATGCTCTGATTTATTGTTGAGGTTGAGAACTTTACTATAAGAAAGTATCACATCGGAAGTTTATGTTCGGCAGCATTAACCCTCACTCATAAATGACCTTGAAGTGCAAGAAACACAGTTATGCTCTTATTCATTGTGGACCACTTAAAGTTGGACGATAAGAAAGTATCATGTTCAGCGGCATAAAAAAACTTTTGAAAATGTCTGTCTATAGATAAAAACGTACAAAAAGGCACATGACGTTTGTTTATACATGTGTTTACGTCAATAAAAAATATAGAAACGAATGACTCTAGATGATTTGTGCCACGTAAATGGCAAAAATATGCGCCATATCAATCACACAAATGTGTGTGTGCGTGTGCGTGCGTTCATGCATTGGTGTGTCTGTGTATGTGTGCGTGTGTGTGTGCGTGTATGTGTGTGTGCGTGTGTGTATGTTGTGTGTGCGTGTGTCTGTGTGTGTAATTCGATTGAATTTTCAGTATAAGGCTTCATCCATTTTGTCGTTGACTTTTGATTACCTGGAATATGCAAAAGTGACTTCTGCATGATAAAATTTATGTTCCTGTTAGAAATAATATCTATGCATATGAATATAATTGCCTCTTCTGGCACAGGCCAAACATTATATTTTGTCTCGGAATACAAGTTATGACCGAAACTAAAGTAGTAATATTCTCTTACTGTTATAAAGTGTAAACTGTCTTATACGAAATTACCTGAACATGAATAATTCGTACAAAGTATAAGAAATAAAATAGCAATTCTTTAAAAACTACTACCAAAAGAAAATGGTCACTAAAGTCTGACGTCGTTGTATTCGTCGCTACGTCGTTACCGTATATGAATGCAAAAAAAACAACAACAAAACTGGCTGTTTTTTCATACTAGTATTCCACATACTTTGTACAACATCGATGGCGATAAACACATTATTGGTAAATAACGAAAAGAATTGATGGTTATATAATGCGCAAATCATGCTAGAAGCTGCATGTTGCATATATCAAAGTCTATTAGAGCCTTTTAGCCGGTCGCCTCCAGATGGTAAAATGAAAACAATGAAATACAATTTCAAGAAACAGTTAATACTGGTCTAGTTAGGTTACTTGTGTAAATCTAATAAATCTTTGCTAACGCAGTAGCCAGTATAAAGAGGTGGGATAATTTATTCGACATTGCCACTTGTCACAACAGTGGTCCTGAAAAAATCCCGGAATCCGGTACGCTCGTGGTCGTATATCAATGATCCTAATTAGGCCCAAATTATATTTCAAGCTAAATTCTAAATCGATATACTGGTCATCAAATATATAATTTTATAAATCAATCATAATTTAACCACAAATTGCTACAAATATCAAAACAAACAAAGTAATTTATTCGAATCCCTCTATGTTTGATACGATCCCGAATTCCGTGCGTTCCGGATCACCGGTCGCGATATTTTCCTTTATCATCAAGTGGTTATAGTAAAATAGGTGTGGTTTCGGCGCAATTCAATATTACTAATGTCCAAGCCCCCAGAAGGTCAAGAAAGGTCCAAGAAGTTTTAAATCAATTTCAACAAAAGCTAAAAAAAAGTTTTTACCATGCTGATTGGGTTGTTGCATTATAACAGTAGGTACAATGCAGAATATTAATTGTTGTCAATACCTAATGGTCACATCTAAACACGCTCATCATTATGTCTAGTGCCAAAATCAGTGATTTAAACATAGCAACAGTCCTTACTTGTGCATATAGAATTACGTAAATTTAACATTGTTTTACATTATATATAATATACAAAGCAGAACATTTAACCTTTCATTTGAGGGATAAGAGAAGAAATTCAATCAAATATAATTAAACTCCCTCTTTCTATCACTAGTAACTGTAAAAAGCAAGATTAACTATTACCAGTGAATACAAGCAGAATGTTGACTTGATAGATACACGTCATTCTTTAACGCATACTACAAATTTTTAAATCAATGGAGTTCACCAAAATATAACAGACTCAAAATAATGGAATTCTCCATATTTATAATAAAGCATTTAGCAACAGCTAGGATAGATACATACAAACTAGAATTAAAGAACTTGACCAACATCTCTTCTTTACAAAACAAAGACTCAATGACTTCTGCAAAAAAATCAAATGACATAGAAAGAGCTTTCAATAAACCATCCATGAACCAGTAATTTGATTCCTTAAGCTTATACCGACCACACGTGCAATCAATGTAAACTTGAGATAAAATCAGATAAACTAATTTTAGAGTAATCTCCCTTTGAAAAAAATCAGATAAGAGCGGCTTTAAAAGTAATTAAATAAAACAATAATGCAAAAGTTATTTCCCTTGCACAAGATCTTAAAAACACAAAAATAACCCGGCTGAGAGAAAAACGAACTGTATGTTTACAAAGAAAAATGTTAAAATATGAACATTTAAAGTGTCATTTCGATTTTTTCAACTTTTATTGTTTTTGAAGAGAGATTTTGAAATTTCAGTAACACGGTAGTTTTTCTATTGTTTTCAATGACAAGTCAATCTATTTGATTTTTTTTCAGCTTATTCATATCTTTAAAGTTTATCTGCAAGAGTATGTATCTAACAAAGATACCATTGACAAAGATATCACGTGTCGGTTGGTATCACATCTCCAAGATATTTGTATATCCAAAGGTCTTCCAGAGCTAGCAAAGTTATGTTTTCAAACAAATATGACAGATGAGAAACTTATGAAGATTTTGACAGAGAGGTTTGATAAGTTATCAGACAAAATTACAGCTGTTATCATCTCGGAGATGGATAGTAAAATGTAGGCATATCAACATTTTTCTGCAAGGTCAACGACTCTAATTTCGTAGTAATACCGGATTGCATTGTTTCACTGATGAATGCACTTTTTGATAAAACGTTTTTGTTTTCGTTTCTATTCATACGTATCATGACACATATCTGTCTGTAGATTTTGAACTTCTTTTAACATTTTAATATTTTTCCTTGAACCACTCTTTGTTCAACCGGTGTCTTAAGGAATTTCATTTCTGAACTTCAAACGTAACCTTTTTCTTTTCAGATTTACTTGTAACCCTCTTTAAATTATTCATTAATACAGGTACTGAAAATAACACAGTTCCTTTTCGCTTATTTGAGTTTTCCCTTATCAATGAAAATAAGGATAATATTAAATCCTTGGATAGTAATGACAAGAAAAGATGTTATTTGAGAGATAATCCTGATAATTGTTTATCATCAGAATAATGATCTTGTTTATTTTCTCTGTAGGATTATCAAACCAGTTTCTTGGTAAAATATCTCGTACAGCTTTACAGCTACATTTGTACTGTGCTCGCTATATGGTATTGTACGCGGCATCCCATTTGCGAAAATCTCGGCCAAAGAACCACGCTGATTTCAGCGAAACATCACACCAATCTCTTATAAGCGAAACATCCTTATCTGTTTTTTTATCATGTGCCCCACTGGTCAAAATTTGGTGTTCTACATTTTTTGCGAGCGGATTTTAACTGTCATGAACATCTAGGTATTTATACGATCCTTCGATTTTGGTTTTGAGAAAAACAGCTTGGTAAAAATTCCTTGACAAGGTATCCCTTATGATGTACTTAATCTATCTAAGCCAACTCTAAATTGATTCATTACCTCACCTTATTCTGGCTTGTGTTTTTTTTTCATGATAGCGTAATGACTGCTCGGTAAAGACATACTACAGAATAATACATTTGAATATTCCTATTATAGTATAGGTTTACATTGATGAATAATTACGACAAAGTATTATTTCACGTTTTACACACAATTAAGATCTTTCAGGCATTTCCAATCATTACTATTTTGAAATGTTCATATTTAGATATAATAATAAAGAACACTTTTACTAGACTTAATTAGTAGAACTGAATTGTACTTTGTATTAAATGACTTTCTTAATTTCAGTGTACAGATGACCTTTTCCTTACACAAATTTCAAAGCAAAATGAAGACTATCATAAAGGAACGAAGTGTAATATTTGGCTAGATATATGGTCTTAAAGCTTAAATCGATTATTCTCTCCATATAATTGGCATTTAACTGTACTCATTCATTTTATACAAATATCCATTTTGCATGGCGCCTTACTTTTGTTTATTTATCTATTTATTTACTTATATATTTTTGTAGTAATTATTGAATAATATATGACATATACTGTTTGTTGATTGTCGAGTATATACGTTTTTGATTAATTTAACATGTACAGGAAGTAAGTTAAAAGTGAATATTAAACATTAAAGTGTTTTGATATATATCACCATTTTTTTATTTAAACAATTAATGAATGAATTATATATACATTATTGCAGGAAACCTTAACAACACTAATGGAGAAGTTGGTAGTAAAGTCAGATCATGCAGATAGCGTTAGCTGCAAAATTCTCGAAATGGACGATTCATGTGTCACGCCAAAGGAAACTGTTTTCAATTTCTTTTCCTACACTGTCTACCAGGAAATCGCGTACAGAGGGGTAGAGGTATAACATCCTTTTATATTGTAAATGTGTTAGTAGGCATGAATGTGAATTGCTCTCTCTCTCTCTCCCTCTATCTCTTCTCACTCCTCTCTCTCTTAATGCAAATAAGCGTTATATCGCGAAACAAAAGGCGTAATAACGCGAAATAATAGTCGTAATGACACAGATTAAAGCATAATTACCCAAATCAAAATTTGTTATAACACAAAACAAAACGCGAGTCGTTAAAACGCGAACCAAAAAGACGAAATTACGCAAAACAAAGGGCGTCTGTAAGCGAAATTAAATGCGTTTTTACAAAAAAGGCGTTATAACCACAGGGGACCAACACAGTGTTTGGATGGTATAATCTGCTTGATGGTGACCTTAAAATGAGATTTAAGTCATAACCTTATAATATGTTTTGTTTGTTTGTTTGTTTCATTTTACGCCTTTTCCCAACAGTATTTTAGTCATATAGGCGGGTTAATTCCTAACCATCGTTCCTGGAGAGTTACACCAGTACTAGACTACCTTCCTCCGCGCTAAACTACCAAAGCATCTCCTGGGGATCGAACCCACGCCAGAGAGGTAACTAGATTAGAAGTCATCGACTCTAACCCCTCGACCACGGAGGCGGTCTCTTATAATATGTATGTAAAGTCTATAATTATATAGATATTATAAGGTTATGACTTAAATCTCATTTTAAGGTCACCATCAAGCAGTATACACCATCTAAACACTGTGGGCCCGTTGTGGTTATTATGCCAATTAAATACCATACTTGCCTAGTCACGATGAAAGGTACAAACAA